TTCAGATATTGCCCACCAGGGTATATTACAGTCGAAGAAAGTATTTGGATCAGATTGGGTCAAATCATGATTATTGTGATGTGCAATGATAGGTTTCAAATGTCATGACATCGAGTAGTTTTTCATTGATCTGAGATTGTATCTAAGTACTGATACATAGCTTTAACAATTCACATTTCATTCGTTTCCTTAACACTTAAATGCTTCCTTATGATCTTCTACACTTTTCCAATGTCTGTTTACGGAAAGCGGTATATTAATGTTTTGATGCCAGTAACCTTTCGCTTAATATTCATACTATTTATTGCGTGGCAAAAGTAAACAAGCTAAAATTGTCGTTACTCTGCAAACCTTGACTTAGCGTTGGCGCTTACGTGTGTGGGCTGGCCGCTTGAAAGGCTTTTTAACACTTAGTCATGAAAGTTCTACAAGCGGAAACGTTATTAAGCTCAAACACCACTAACCCCATGGCTATGATGAAGATTCCAATGACCATTTCGTAACAATGATTCAGAAACACGGATTTTAACTAAATTACCCTTTGTTCACGTGTTCCTCCCATTGCTTTCATTCCAGAATTTGCTGTTACCCTCTTACCTCGTAAAATATTCCAAAATTTGTTCTCGACTAACATACTAATAATTATAGTATGACATCGACAACGACGGTTTCATTCCATTCCACGAGATGTCCAGATACATTGACGAAGTTGGCCACCAGTTTGACCTCACACGTGACCAGAAGATGGAACTTCTGGCTGGTGTCGATAGAAACGCTGACAAATACATCGATTTCTCGGAATTCTGCTTCATGGTAAAGCGAGCGAGTTTCTTTTCATTTAATCCATATGCGGTTATAAGTGAATTTTAAGCTGTGCCGAGCCAAAAAGATGCACCTGAAACGACTGTTATTTCATGCCGCTCGAACGGTCATTCCAAAATCACAGAGAGAAGAGCATTTCACCTACTTGTCTCAGTACAGCTGCATACCGCCGCCTATCTTCATATTACTTATCACCGCCGTCGAGGTAAGTGTTTCGTCTCGTTTTTCAGATGGTAGGACATTCCTTCACGTACACAGACAAAACTTGTATGTCTTTATATATAAACAAATATTTTCGACTACGCATATCATTTTATAGTGCAGTCATTTTTTGGACAGTTTGTCTGATTACCTCTGAAGCTGAGTTCCATTAGGTTAATTTAATTTGTTATATGTTTAACAATAATAATTTAAATTTTTTAATAAACAGCAAAATAAAAACTTTCTATTGACTAAATGAATGTCTCAAAAGCAGTGTCTTCATTCATAAACTTGGCTTAATTCCTTCTTGCTATAAAAGGTTTAGCGAAAAGTTACAAAGGGTTCTTAACGCTAAATATAACCTTAATGCTATATGCTGAAGCTCCGATAAACATCTCTAATCATTAACAACTCTTTAGGCTGAGTGAATAAATAGCCACGTGACATCAGGAAACATTATATGTAAAAGGCAGGGAACACCGTCATTCACAGAACAAAGACCAACCTGTAAAGCAGGCAAATATGGATGAATGCAGACGAGCGTGAGCGGCATGTGGTAACAAAGCACCCAGGAAGGAAACAAGGTCAAGTCATGGTGGAATTGTGCAGCATACGGGACATAAATGACAACCCCAATGGTCAGATTGCAACATTGTCAACCGTACTTGCAACAGCAGCAGTTAACTGATCATTCTTCCTGATTAATGACGAGGATTATCACTACCTGATCTCGATGCTTACGTTCATCTATCCCTCGTTATTTGTCGCCACAAATTTCCCTCTCTTACTTTCAA